TTGATTCTACCTTTTCAACATCTCTCATATATCCCCTTTTCTCTCCTCTGACACTGCTGCCATCCTGCACAGGTCTTCATCACCTTATATCTGTACTATTGCAATAGTTTTCTTGTTGGTCTCCCTGCATCAAGTCTCTCCCCACTTCAAGACATCCTCCACTCTGCTATCAAAATGATCTTCCTAAAGCACAGGTTTGGCCGTGTCATCCCCCTATTCAATTTGCTCTAGTGGTTCAATATTGTCTCCAGGGTCAAATATAAATCCTATGTTTAACTTTTTGGCAATGGGGTTAAGTGACTTGCCCAGGGTCACACACTAGTAAGTGTTATGTGTCTGAGACTGGGTTTGAACTCAGGTCCTCCTGAATACAGGGTTGGTGCTCTATTCACTGGGCCACCTAGCTGCCCCCTATGTTTAGCATTTAAAGTCCTTCATAACCTAGTCCCTTCCTACCTTTCTAGTCTTCACATACTTTGCTCTCCCTTCCTCTGTGATCTATCATTCTGGCCTCCTTGCTGTTCCTTGCACAAGACACTCTATCTCTAGACTCTGTGCAAATTTACTGGCTATCTCCCATGCCTGTAATTCTCTTTCCTCATTTGTATTCCTGGCTTCTTTTAAGATCTTCTAAATCCTACCTTATCCTAGAAGACTTTCCCTATCCTCTTTAATGTTAGTGCTTTCTCTCTGCAATTATTTCTCTTTTATCCTACATAGATCTTGTTTGTACATAGTTGTTTACATATTGTCTTGGGGTATATGAGATATTCAGGGAGGACTAGCACCTCTGATATGAGGGTTTGTTGAAACTTGTTTCAGGGCTGCTCATACACCTTTGGTGTCTACCTGTCATGCAACTCTCACTTGTGGTTCCAAGAAGCTATAGCATGCACAGTGGCCACACCCTGGTAAAACTGTCTTGGCAGATGGGTTATACCAGGTTGAGGGTAACTAACAGACCTCAAAGCCATCTTTGAGTTAGGGGGATGTCTATCCCAAATGTGTGAAAGTTTCCTCTGCTGGAATGGCAGAAGAGAACAATTTGATCTAACAGCCATGAGGGTGGCTGAAGCAGTGCTTAGAGCTTGGTCAGACATTGATGATACCAAGGTCATCCACTGCATGCCAGAATGTCTCCAGTCATCTTGACTTTTGTCTTGCCACTAGATTCTAATAACTCTGGAAGATAGAGTGAGGCTGATGACTGCGCAACTCCACATCACTTAAATCCAATTCATGTGCAAGTCAAGGCATCACCCATGTCATTGGTCCTCTTTGAAAATGAAGAATGAACAACCTCCCTCATTAGACTTTCAACTCCTCGAGTACAGAAACTGTTTTTGTATTTCTTTGTATGCCCAGCACTTAGCACAGTGCCTGGCATATAGTAGACCCTCAATAAATACTTGTTGACTTTACTTGTTGACTTAAGAGCTTTCTATTCCTCTTAGGCTGATGTCCTTATAGAATTTTAGGCCATAGGATCTTCCCTATTCTTTCTCTTAACCCTTTGGAATCTTCTTTCTTCAAATCTGATTTATTTGGACTGACTTCTCTCCTCAAAACTAGGTGATATGCTTATCTGTATCTGATTTTCTTCTCCTCTGTCCCCATTTGTAACTTAGTGTGGTCACTTCCTACCAAATTTTCCATTATTTCTATCCAGTCACTATTTCTTTTTTTTTTATAGAATAAGATTAAAAATATGATTTTTCCCATCAGTTCCTGTATCTTTTGAAAAGTGAATTATCATAAATGCAAATCAGCAAAGTATTAGGTGCTTTATTTTTTGATGGAAAGAGTTCCTTAGCATATATATGAATATTGGATTTTCCCATTACTATTCTGTGATGCCACCATGCTAAGTTTGTAATGTGTTTTTAATACTCCTACAATGCCTAGCACATGGTAGGTGCTTAATAAATGTTCATTGATTGACTTATTATTTTTTCTAAGTGGTCTGTAGCATACCATGGTAATGAAATTATTTCTCTTTGTGCTTTCATTTATCTTCAAATCAATATTACCCATCACGTTTCCCCATTTTGTTTATAGATTTCTTAATATGAATAAAACTATTGAAAACTCAATACTTCATTGTCTTCTCCCTGCCCTCTCTTCTCTATTATATGCCTAATATATAATTTATTTCTTTACAATATATTTCCCACTTAGCCCCTTTTCCTCACTTTCAGTGATATATCTCATTTAGATCCTCATAACCGTACTAGGTAGCCCCGTTCACTTTTTGGCAGCCTAAATTTTTAGAAATTTTAATTACTTTAAAATTTAATTAAAAATTTACATTAGATTTACAATTTTAATAAATTTTAATTTAATTTAAATTTCTTGACATCAAACCTAAATTTGACTCTGTAACTTTGACCCATTTTTACTGGTTCTGCAATCTAAAATCAAACAAAACAAGTTTAATCCTAGAATTTTCCCAAGAATTGAAGTCATGCTCACTGTATTCTAGTTTGCAGATTTTATTCTCTTGCCTTTCTGAAAATTTATGCAACATTTGTTGTTCTACAATATTGTGGTATCTCTGCTGTTTTATTTCACGTAGAGTTGTGTGTGGCTCAGAAACCACATCAGCCAGTTCTTCTAGTAGCTGAAGATGTCATTCACTTGGGTCATCAAGAGTGACAGGTGCTCTCTTACTATCTCCTTACTTGTCTTGGTATCAACTCTGTTAGTCATTTTTGTTCACTTATTCCCAGTATAAAGATCATTCTTTTGGCAAAGAAAACAGAAACAAAATCAGTATTGAACAGCTCTGCTTTCTCTCTTCTGTCAGTTATCATAGTGCCATATGTTCCAAGAAAATCTTCTGATCCTCTTTTTTCTTCCAGTATTGCTAAAAAAAAAATCCCCCAAAGCAAAACTTGTTGTTGTTATTCTTACCTTCCCCCTCCAGCTTCAACTTATACTGAATTTTAGTTAAGGACTATATAACTATCTTCTCTTCATCTTCTATTACATGGTCTTAAAAAAAAAAGCCAAAGTAATCGGTGAGTTTTCTGTGCATGCACATTGGACCCATAGTGAAAGCTTAAAAAATGTTTGTCTGACAAATCTCATTTTTCCTTCTCATTAGAATGTTTTAGAATTTCATCCTTGAGTATCTCCTGTGTCTTCTGAGCTCACTTCTCCTGTATCCTCTTCATCTGTGGAATCTGACGTATTTTACCTCTGAGCTCTTTGAAATATGTATGTATACTTGTACATATATGTATATCTAAATGTGTACATGTATATCTGCTCATGCATAATAAATGTTGATGCATGTGTATGCTATGCATACATATATGAACAGACACACACAATACATATGCACATGTGTGTATATGCACATACATGCATGCATGTAGTACAAAAGCAGATGTATCAAATTAAGATTACACCTAGATTTTCTCTCCTCCATTGTACCTTCTAGGAGGAATGGTCCCTTCCTCCTTTAGGTTCTCATTATTTTCGCTGCAACATCTAGTTTTTTCTCATTAATAAAAATCAGATCTAGAATATGATTTCCTCCTGTTGGTCCTTCTTTTTTAAAAATGAAGTTATTAGTAAGGCAAGTCAAGAAATTATTAGGTTGGGGCAGCTAGGTGGTGCAGTGGATAGAGCACCAGCCCTGAAGTCAGGAGGACCTGAGTTCAAATCTGGCCTCAGACCAAACACTTGACACTTACTAGCTGTGTGACCCTGGACAAGTCACTTAACCCCAATTGCCTAAAAAACAAAAAAAAAAGAAATTATTAGGTTCTCTGCTTGTGAGAAAGAGTACAATTAGATGTCTAAATCTTTGAAATCCTTCACCACTATGATATCATGTCTCTGTGCCAGGCTTATGATCTGTTTCTCTAATTCCTCATCCATTTCCTCTTTCTTTCCAGGTTGTCTGTGGAATATTTCCATGACAAAAATCACATCAATTTCTCCCTCCATTGATCCTCAAATTACTCTATATCATGCTTTCTCTCTCTGGCTCCTGGATATCTGCACATAAGCAATATATTAATATAAAATGCCATCCCACCAGCTCTCTTTTTACCTATCCTGTTTCTTTTGAATAAGACATATCCATCAAGCGCGTTGGCCCAGGGACAGCTAGGTGGCACAGTGGATAGAACACCAGCCCTGGATTCAGGAGGACCTGAGTACTAATCTGGTCTCAGACACATAACTCGTACTAGCTGTTGACCCTGGGCAAGTCACTTAACTCCATTGCCTAGCCCCCCACCCCAAAAAATAGAGCCATGGCCAAATCATGGGCTTCATTCCACTATGTGTCAGTGGGATGAGGCTAAATTTGTCTTCTTGTGTTAGGACCTCTAGTTATTTTTGTTTCAGGCTTTATAATTTGGGCATATGTACATAGACATTAGAGGCCATGAGTTTTACTTTCGACTAAACTTGAGTTTTGTCGCTTGTGAACTTCTGGGTTTCCCAACTGCTACCCTTTCTTCTTTGTAGCTATTCTCTATAGTATCCAGCTTAGCACATAATCATAGGAAGTCTTCTCAATCCTCTAACCTTTTTAGTTTAATGTCCTTTTGATTAGATTAATAAGATCTACAACAAATACATTCTTACCAGCCTTTGTTAGGTGTCTTCCATCACTGGCCAAGAAGGTTTCAGCTCTTTATTTTAAACCATTGTTCAGAAAACCAAATTCCATTCTCATGTAGCATCTTAGCCAACTGTTCACTGCCCAAATTAATTTTTGTCTACTATATCCCTTGCTTTTAGTGGACAAAAGTAAGAAAATCACAACTAGTTCCTTGTTGTCATTGATTTCTCATCTAAGACTTCAAAATGATTGACAATAACTTTAAAATTTTTTCCCCTATAAATGTCATAACTTTCTCTAAGGAGCATTTAATGACCTCTCCTTTATTTGTATCCCTAATTGTCTCAGTATGCATTCACAGAATAGAGTCTAAACTTGTTTTATTCAATTAACAATGCTTTTGTTTCTCTTCTTCCAGTTGTTAAGTATATTGTTTCTGTATACACTGGAGACCAATGGGGAGCTGAAACTTTCGCCAATGTTTATATCACTCTCTATGGACAAAGAGGGGATTCAGGTGCTAGGAAGTTATATCAATCTTTAAAAAAAGGAGATTTATTTCAAAGAAACAAGGTAAAAAAAGTTGTCTTATGTGTATTTAGTGATCTCTCTCTCTTGCTGTTTTTAAATAAGTTAAGAAAATTGTTGTTGCTATGCACGGTCACATGAAAATATGACTTAAACAGGTGTCTTGAATTTGTCCTTTAAATCCCAGAGTTGGTTTTTGAATTATCAGGTTATATATCAGACTCTTATAATGGACAGAGAGTCAAATATTAAAGAAAACACCCTACATGTGAATAAGCAAAGGAAGTTTATTGTAAGCATTTGGGGTGGTGGGAAGAGGGTAGGAGGAGAAGAGAATATAATAAAGAAGCACAGGCAAAAGATATATCCAGTGGCATGATGCTAAAATGTGAAATGTGATAAAGCAAGAGTAGAATTACTCCATTCATAGGTTGTTTCTGTTTTCTTTTCCGAGGAAAATAAATTTTGTATTGAAAATGATAGGAAGAATGGTTTATCAGTAAGTAATGGAAACCCAGTATAACGTAGGGAGAAAATAAGCAGGCACCTCTCTGCTCCCTATGGGATATGTTCAGTCATACACCCAGAGAAGTCCAGCAACCCCTTTCCTTTTTATAGTCTAAATCAAGACACTTGTTTCTTGATACTTCTTCACTGAACAAAGTTTGAATCTCCTTTTCTTGGGTTCTCTTTGACTTACAGATGTGGTTTTTGTTCTAGGGGAAGCATTAATTGCGTTGACCACATATTAATTATAGAGTTCACACACTTGAGCTAGTTCTTAAGATTAGCTTTTAATACTAGAGTTTTTAGCCTGGTGTCCATGATCTTTTTTAAAAAAAATTAATGATTATAATGTAATGGTTTTCTTTTGTAATCCTATTTTTTTTTACTTTATGCATTTAAGAATATTACTCTAAAAAGGGGTCCATATGCTTCACCAGACTAAGATGATTAAGGGGACCAATACACACACACACACACACACACACACACACTCACACAAAGATAAGAATTCCTAACTTAAAAGGAGAAGATGACATTGTATAGAGTACTGGGTCTGGTGTCAGGAAGACCTGAGTACAACCATGGCCCTAGACACTTACTAGCTATGCGAGCCTAGGCAAATCACTTAACCTCTGCCTACCTCAGTTTCCTCAACTGAAAAATCAGGATAATAATAGCACTTATCTCCCAGAGTTGTTGAAGATGAGATAAAATTTGTACAGCACTTAGCACAGTGCTTGTTGTGTACTATGTACTTAATAAGTCCTGCCTTCCTTTCTACCTTCTTCCCTTCCTCCCTTCCTCTCTTCCTCCCTCCTTTTCTTTCTTCTTTTCTCATAAGAGGCAAATCCAAGCAATAAGTAGGAGATGCAGGGTGTGAATGACTCCAGGTTCACTGTTCTTCCCACAACATTTTGCCTCAAATCTAGACAAGATGTCTTTTGTAAACCTTATGTAATGTCCGATATGAAGAATCATGCTGACATATGTCTTCCATTAATGTTGGAAGCTTTTTAATTTTGACAGTTCCCATCATTAAATAATAGTTTATCTTATGGAATATTATTTAGGAATTTCAGAATTCTGAGAAGAAACTGTACATCTCTTTTCACTAACAATTATATTTTTGTAATTTTTTAAAAAATACTAAACAGTCATAGGATGGTTTGTAATTGATTTTTAATTTATCATTTTGAAAAATTCTTAGAAAGAAAAGAAAATTTTAATAATAATAATATAATTATTAACAACAGCATCAATAGCCAAAGAAGTTTCTTCATTGTCTACTCTCCCTTTCTTTAACCAGATTTGTCATTTCATTAGTATATGGAGGTATTGGTTATTGTCATCAGTATATATTGATGCCTTCTCTTCAATGAATAGTTATAAAGGGTTACCTAGTGCACTAATAAATTAAGTGATTTACACTATTGATTAGAGAAATGCAAATCAAAAGAATTCGGAGATACCACATCACACCTATCAGATTGGCCAACATGACAAAACAGGAAAATGATAAATGTTGGAGAAGATGTGGGAAAATTGGAACACTAATGCATTGTTGATCAGTTTTGAACTGATCCAACTATTCTGGAAAGTAATTTGAAACTATGCCCAAAGGGCTATAAAAAACCCTTTGACCCAGCAATAGTACTTCTAGGGCTATATCCCAAAGAGATAAAAAAATGGAAGAAGGACCCACATGTACAAAAAAAATATATAGAAGTTCTTTCTGTGGTGGCAAAGTATTGGAAATTGAGGGGATGCTCATCAATTGGGGGATGGCTGACCAAGTTGTGGTGTATGAATGTAATGGAATACTATTGTTCCATAAGAAATGATGAGCAGGTGGACTTCAGAAAAACCTGGAAAGACTTACATGAATTGATTCTAAGTGAAGTGAGCAGAACCAGGAGAACATTGTACACAGTAACAGAAACATTGTGTGATGACTAACTTTGATAGACTTACCTCTTCTTAGCAATGCAAAGATCCAAAACAACTCCAAAAGACTCATAATGGAAAATGCTATCCACATCTAGAAAAATAATGATGGAGTCTGAATGCAGATTGAAGCATATTATTTGCTCTTTCTTTTTGTTTGTTTATTTGTTTCTTCTTTCTTGTGGTTCCTGTCATTGGTTCTAATTATTCTTTATAACATGACTAATGTGAAAATATGTTTAATATCAATGTATATGTAGAGCCTATATCAGATTGCACACCATTTTGAGGTAGGGGAGGGGAGGGAGGTGGAGAAATTTTGGAGCTCAAAATCTTATGGAAGTGACTGTTGAAAACCAAAAATATATTAATTAATTAATATTTTTAAAAATAAAAGTAAACTACAAAAAGAAATTGAGTGGTTTACCCAGAGGCACAAAGGAAGCAGTACCAGCTAGATGTACATCCTCCTGACTCCAAAGCCAGTTGTATGTTTGATACTACTGTGCCAGTAATATCAAACTCAAAAAGAAACATATTCATATGGGCTGCATACTGACTTAGAAAACTACAAATTAGCATTATTTATATTGTATTGTATTTTTTATTTTGGTAAACATTTACCGATTATATTTTAATCTGTTTTGGATAGCACTCAGGAGTTTTGCTGACCCTGAGTTTGATATTTCCTTACTATGACAGGTTGTATCTCACTAACTTTACTTACTTTTAGGAAATTGTATTTATGAATTAATCTATCACCATGACAATTTTGTCAGAAACTTCTCTAAAAGAAAATTATATCTTTCAGTCTTGGGATTATTCAAAATTAAATATTATATAAACATTTATTTAGTTCCTACTGAATTATGAACCTCATGTAAAGCTCTGGAGAGATACAAGTTTAGATAAGACAGAGTCCCCACCTTTACTGAATTTAATAGAGAAATATACAGATATGGATCACCACAATATACAATATTACATGAGAAATTCAATAGAAAGTGGAAAAAAAAACAAAGTGCTTGAGATGATCTAAGGGGGAGTCTTTCAGAAGAAGTGGCATGTTGCATTGTCCAGTAGAAAGAAGAGTATATTTGGCATCCATAAGACCTGGTTTCAATTGATCTCACCACTCCGATGCTACTGCTCTTTCCAAGGACAAGAATGATGTATTTTAATATTAGAGATTTTTTAAATTTTTCGTCTTCATTTCTGATCCTATCTTTTCATTTTCTCCTCTCCATTGAGCCATCAGTTGTAACAAAGATTAAAAATGAAAAAAAATCAGCAAAACCAATCAACATATTAATCATATCTAATAACATATGCAATACTCCATGCCCATAGTAGCTCACCTTTGAAAATAGGTATCATTTATATAGCACTTTAATTTTTGGAAAACACTTTATATATTTTACACTTTATATATTTATATATATTTATATATATATATATATATATATATAACACTTTATATATTTATATATATTATATTTATATATATTTATATATTTATTTATTTATATTTTTGATACTGACAACAAACTTGTAAAGCAGAAAATGTGTCATTTTATAGTTGAGGAAACTGAGGCAGAGAGAGGTTAAGTGACTTACCAACAGAGGGTCACAAAGATAAGAAGTATCTGAAGCATGGCTGGAACCATGAACTTCTTGACTCTAAGCCCTGCAGAAAGAAGTAAAGGAGATATTCTCAGCTCTTCTTTGGCATCAAGCTTAGCAATTATAATTACACAGCATTCCAATCACTTTTTCTGTTCTGTTTACATTGCTGAAATCATTGTATATATTGTTTTCCTCATTTTGCTTACTTCACACTGCATCAGTTTATATATCTTACCATGTTTCTCTGGAGAAGCTCTCTGTCATTTGCTTTAAATGCTCCATCTTATTATTTATATTTTTATATTTTTCCCTTTGAGAGCTCTAATTTTAGTCTTAATTTCCACTTCTAATTCTTCTTTTAATTACCTTATTTTTATGAACAATCTTAGAAGTTCTTTCAATTTTTTGGCTATAACTTTTGGAGTAGAGGGAGAGGTCTTAACATAGTTATTAAAGTGCTACCCCTTTTATTTGAAATTTTCAAATCAATTTCTTTTAGTCCACAGTATTTAGCCATGGAATATTTGAATCTTTTCACTATTTATTTTCATTTTTTTTCTAAATAAGTCTCTCTACTGGTTTCACTATAATGCTTTTCCTGTCATGAGTTCTTTCCTGCTTTCTCTTTATTTTTTTTTTGTTCTTTCCTTCTTTATTTGTAATATTTTTATTATTTTGAGATGATAGAAAGCTAAGATTAAGCATGACCTCTCATTCAGTCACTCTACTGGAACTCAACCATTTTCCCACTTTTCTATTTGACATTGGATCACGAACAATAATACAAGTCTCCATCCTTTTCAGAAGCAACCTTTTTTTTCTTGTCCAGATCTTTAGGGTTGGGCAAATTCATGAACCTTTGTCTACCAAGGAATGGAGAAGTCTAGCTGAATTATTACTAAGCAGGAGACTCTGAAATGCAATGTCAGACATAGTAGCATTGGATGCAGGGTTAAAGCTAGGAGTTTGAAGGTAGGAGATGGCAATATAACCTTGAAAAATTTCCTTAAACTATATGGGCCTCAGTTTTCTTACCTGTAAAATGTGGATGTTGGACTAAATGGCCTCTAAAGCCCCTGCTAGCTTTGGATCTATGATCGCAAGATTCTCTGATATTTTTTTTTTCTTGAAGCAATTTCATCATGGGGAATTCCTTCCTGGGACAATAGCATTAGAAAAAGTAGCAAGATAATAAAGTGTCATAAAACTTTTAGCTTTTTTGATATTATTAATAAAATCTAGGAGGAAGAGATAGAGAAATTGTATTCAAAATAATTATAAGATTCATTAAATATCTAGAAATTAACCTATCAACCCAAAACTTCACGGCTCATGATTTGACTGAGCTAATATAATAAAAATGATACTACCTAAATGAATTTATAGATTTAGTCTGTGCCAATGAAGCACTTTCTGAAGCCAGTGTCTCATTTTAATTTTTTAAATTGAATCCCTGGAGTACTCTAAATAAGTTACAATATCTTCTGCAAATACAGATCATTTTTGCTCCTCCTTGTTTATGATTAGTCCCAAAATCTATTTTTGTTGAACTTCTACAGCTAGAAACCAAGGGATTTCTTTATAGAACCAAACAGAAAGATAAAAAGAAATCAAGAGAAAAAATGAAAAAATAACAGAATGGAGGTCTAACATTTCAAACTATTTTACAAATCATTAGTAATTATAATTTTGGGTATTAATTATAAAATACAAAAGTAGGCAGGTAAAATAAGCAAGACTTGAACTGAATGAAGGAATGGATAAAAAAGCATTCAATAAGTACATTCCATGTACCAGACATAGATCTAAGTAATGGAAATCTAAACACAAAAGTGAAATAAACTCTGTTTTCAAGCAACTTGCCTTCTATAATGGTAAATTACACACACACACACACACATACATGTACACACACACTTGTACGCACACACTCACACACTCTAGAAAATGGTGTTTTAGTTTAAAGATGATATTTTAGTTTGAAAAGTCACAGTGACAGTGAAAGTATAGATAAATAAGGCATTCAGTTGACACATCCTTTCCAGGTACAGTGATAGTATTATTTTTATTAATGTGTCCAAATCAGGAGATGGAAAGTAGAGAGCAGAGTACATGTACAGCAGCAGGGCCTATAGCAAGGTGGCCCAAGTGGATGGTTGGATAAAATGTGAAAGTCAGTCTGGTCTGGAGCTGGCTAGGTATAGTGAGCTTGGTGAATGTGAACACACTAACCAATCAAGGTAACTCATGATTCCTAGGTGGAGCTCCAGATCTGAGAGGATTAAGTGCTTGGTTTTTGGAGGTCTGGTCTAGAAGCAAACAAATTCATGCCTTCATGTTCAATAAGCTCAAGAACATAAACTATGGGAGGAAGCATTCCCTTTTCTATAAGAACTAGGGGTCAAATTAGAAAAGAGTCTTCTGAAAAATAGGAATAGTTCAGCAGCTTATATTATATTTCATGATGAGTTTCAAATGGACGTGATCTAAATATTTTAAAAGTTACAATATTTTGGGGCAGCTAGGTGGAGCAGTGAATAGAGCACCGGCCCTGAAGTCAGGAGGACCTGAGTTCAAATCCGGCCTCAGCCCAAACACTTGACACATACTAGCTGTGTGACCTTGTCACTTAATCCTGATTGCCTCACTAAAAAAAAAAAATTACAATATTTTTAAAAAATGGAAAACAGAAGTAAGTACCATACAGTTCTATGGATGAGGAGAGAACTTAAAACAAAACAAAGAGTAAAAGAAATTACAAAAGACACAATACACAATTTGTACTATATAAAATTTAGAGCTTTTTTCATGAACAAAATCAATGCAAATATAATAAAAAAGGGAAATTTCCAAATTAAAAAAAAATCTTTGCAATAAGCATCTCTTGTGAAAGTCTGATTTCAAAAACAAAATGAAGAATTGTCTACATGTATACGATCGAGATCCTACCCTTGATAGGCAAATCATCAAAGTTAGTGAATTTTTCAAAAGAAGAAATGTGAACTATCAACCATCATATGACAAAATGTTCCAAGTCACAAACAGATAAGAAAAATACAAATTAAGACAACTTGTAAGTTTACTTTATATCCATTAAAAGTATGAACAACTCCCTTATTGCATATTTGAAGTATAAGTATCTGAAAATCACATATTTAAAGCAGATTTCATTATCTTTTTCTCCAAATTCACCCCTTTTGTGAACTTTCTTCTTTCTGTTGATAATAATACCATCCTTTGTCACTGACTTTTGCAAACTCAAATTTACCCTCTACCCCTCATTCTCCCTCATCCCAATCAGTTGAGAAATATTATCAGTTTTGCCTGCACAACATTTCTTGCATTTGTCCCTTTATCTCTACTCACACTACTACCACCCTATATCACATTCCTATCATCTCTTGCTTGATTTATTGCAATGGCTTCCTTTCTAATCCCCTTGTTTCATACCTTTCCTCCTTCCTAATCAATCTTACTCTTAATTCCCAAAGTGGTACTCCAAAAACAAAGGTTTGATCACATTACTCCTTGATCAAAATCTCCACTGGCACCTATTACTTTATTACTTCTAGGATAAAATTCAAATACCTTCATTCTACATTTCTAGTCTTTCAAAACCTGGCTCCAATCTACATTTCCAAGTTTATTTCACATTATATCTTTTAATGCATGCTACTCTCTAGATAAACATTGTTTTCCTGTTGTTCTTTACCGATGGAATTCCTTCTTCTGTATCTCTGCCTTTTCACAGGCTATGCCCATACCCGAATCATGCTTCCCTTTCAAATGTACCTTTTCATATCCCTAGCTTCTTTCAAAGCACAGATCAAACACCACCTCCTCTATGAGACCTTTCCTGATCCTGCTACCTATTAGTACCTTTCCCTCAAAATTACCTTATTTTTCTTTGTAACTATTTTGTTTTTATTTATATGTGTGCATGTTTTTCTTCAGTAGATTGTAAGCTGCTTGAGGGCAGGAACCGTTCTACTGACCAGGGTTGTTGTGAGGATCAAATAACACAATATATTTAAAGTGCTTTGCAAAACCTTAAAACTCTATATAAATGCTAGCTATCATTATACCCATTGATCCTTTTAAACATTTGATTTTGACAGCTGGATTTATTCATTGTTGAAGCTGTTTCTCTGAATCACTTGGAGAAAGTGCTTCTTGCACATGATGGAGAAGGTTATGGAGCTGGCCTTTATTTAAAGATGATAACTATTCAGGAGTCCAAAGACCCAGATATTGAATGGGTATTCCCATGTTGGAATTGGCTGGATTCCCATTTGGGAGCCTGTGCAACTATTTCAGAACTGAAGACTATAGGTAGGTCATCACAGAATAAGACCTGAACAAAACAAAATGATTGTAGATATTTGAGAACTAATAAACCAATTCTAGAATTTCACTTCTAAAGTTGATTATTGTTTATATGTTTAAAAAAAAGTCTGCACTTAACTATACTTGATTCAAGTTTTTTCAGCCATCTCATTCATGAATTTATCCAACATTTATGAAGGATCTATTGTATACTAAGTACTAGGAGAGGAATAAAATTTAGATAAGACACTTTCTCTTTCAAGGTGCTTGCCATTGAGGAGGGAGCTGAGAAACAAACAGAAATTACATGACAAATGCCTTAGAGATTTTGATGCAAGGAAAAGACTATTAGGAGGCCACAGGTTCAAGTACTGACTCTCCTACTTAATACCTGCGTGACATGGAGTAGTAATACATTTAACCTGTCTGGGCTGCAATTTCTTCATCTGTAAAATGAGTGGGGTTTGGGAGAATGGAGTAGAAGTTATCTTCTAGGTCTAAATCCATATACTTATTAAAATAAAGGTCTATGTGAGGTTTAAGGGGAAAGATAATTATTGATTGGGCAGCTAATTTTTAACAAATCAATTGGATCTTTAGAAACTCAATCAAGTTTGACTGTCAAAAATATCAACTATTTTATTTAGCACTGACTTTCACTGGAACATTATCAGGATGGATTACTATTTTTGATAAAAACCAATATAGATCTTCAGTAAAAATTAAAACAAACAAACAATGCCACAATTCACCCTCAACTACATTGATACCTTTTGGTTCTCTTGTGAAGGAGGAACAGTTAAAGGATCAACACAGCTTATCTTCATATTATGATATTCTAGCCTAGAACTGTAGAAAAATCAAAAGTCACACTGGGCATTCTGAACATGTGTAGATATTGAGCATTTAGTATTAGTATTTGATCTAGTTAATAATAAGCTTTATGCCCTTTGTTGCTTCCTTTGGCACCTTTTAGTATATACTTATATCCAGTGGTTCTCTGCATGCCTTTAACTATTTGCTGAATCAGAATGATATTGTAGATAGAGTATTGGATGGGTAATTAGGAATCCCTGGTCTATAGTTCTATTTCTGACACTTTTTACTTATATGTCAGTGAGAAGGTGATTTCCTTTCTATGAGATTGGATTTTTTTCATTAGAAAAATGTTCCTGACAATAATACCTGCAATATCAGCTTTATAGCATCATTATTAATTAAGATTTAAATGAGATAATATGTGTAAAGCCCTTGCACATATTAAAGAACTTTATAAATGACCTCTTTAAATTACAAGGAACCCATAGAAGTAGAACTTGACTGGGTAGAGATCACTGATCTATGACTTTTAAGCCATTGTAGTAATAATAATAAAAAAAATTATGATAGTGATGGTAGTGGTGATAATCTCCTCAAATCCCCATACAGTCTCCAAAACATGAGGCAGAGGAAGGATGGCAAACTAAAGGAATGACAGCCAGGGAGTATATACAATGAGAAGTCGGTGTGCCCTGAGTTCACTATTAGAATTGTAATGTTCTGGTAGGTATCTTAAAATGCTGACCAATTGATCACCTGGCAGTAAAATTGATTGTGTTAGCCCCATGGCTAACATGTTAGCTGGCTCCAGAGTGAAGATTTTATATTGCTTTTTGTCAATAATATCCTCAGTTCTAAGTTATAAAACAATAGGCAGACCATTAGTGCTCATGAAATAGACTAAAAATAGCAATGCTTTTAGTATATGCTATTATGACACCATAAAAATGGAAGTGGAATCTCACCAGTTATAGAAAAAAAATTCATAGTGGTTTTGGTCAATAATATCCTTAGCTTCTGGTTATATAGCAACATAGTGTAGATCAATGCAGGGCAATCATAAGAAAAAATGCCATTCCTAAACCTAGATAAGCTGAGAAAAGAGAAAGAATTGAGTAGTTATTTAATTCCAAAGACAGAAAAGTTGAAGAGCTTAAAGGCATTGAAGAAACTGCATAAGACAAAGCTTCAGATGTGCTATTCAATAATAAAATGGATGGAGGAAATAATGCTATTATCCTGAATGATGTTCCAAAGGAGAGGGGTATACTTAGAATGGAATTCTAAGTATATTCTATAATTGTTACCATGTTGAAGCCCACAGGAGGAAAACATGTATCCAAGAATGTTCTTAAGGATCATATGCTACCATGGCAGAAATAGCTTAAGAACATTTAATGAAGACAAAAACATACAAATGTATGTACATACAAATGCCAAAAGTTTAATCAATGTTTAGCACTAGAAAACATGAATACAAAATTTCCCAATTAAAATCTTTGAAAAAGAAATAAATGCATATGTCAAAAGTAAGCAAAAGTTTATCAGACATTATTTACTTGGCAATTGAAAATATAAGCCAAGAAGTTAAGGTAATTCAAGGAGTAATAGCAATGTAAAAAATCAAGATAAAAAATTCAACCTTAATAAAAAATATTATATAGAACAGGGATTCTTAACCTGAGGTCCATCAGTTCTGATAGCTGTATTTCAATATAATTTTTTTTGTAATTCTGTTTTTTATTTTATGCATTTATTGTATTCCTAACTTTTCATGTAATATAAAATCCCTAAAAGAGCAGAGAACAGAATAAAATGAGCTAATTAGTACAGTGGGGGTATTGAATGCTTTTACAATCTAAACATCACTGGGTCAGCACCTCTATGTGGACTGTGAAACTTCTGACCCTTTCCTTATATCCTGCCATTATACTTTGTTTTTTGTGTTGTTGCCCCCAATTAGGTGGTTAAGTCCTTGACAGCAGGGACTATATATATGCCTTTTTCTGTTGGTATTACCAATGTTTTGCACTGTATGGTATGCAGTAAGTGCTTAATAAATGTTTTTATTTAATTCAGTCATTGAATAAAATAAAAGATCAGCTTGCATCAAACACAAAACAGGAAGCTTACATGCCATTAATATAATGAATGACAGAATGGTTACATCAAAGGCAGCAACTGAAATTCTAGTCTCTTGGTGAAACTGGAAGGAAGCAGGTCTAGATAAGAGTCATAATTATATATTCAGATGATTCAGTGTTGCATGACTTGCTAACAAAGCACTTTACCAGTTTCCTTTGGTAAGCCTGGTGGAAGCCTGATATTATCTTTTTAAAAAGAAAACATCATATGCCCATTAGTAAGAGATAAAAACACTACCTACCCCTCCAAATATAGGCAAATTATGTGCTTTTATCCTTTATACTAAACAGTCACTATATGAATCTCTAAAAAAAAATCTATATAGAACCTTACAAGAAAATAAGATTTTGGCTGAGCATCAAAAAGGGCATGCCAAAAAGACATAGGACATTTATTTGGTGATTATTGAACAAATCACACAGAAGCACTATAGCATTAAACTATTTTTTATTGATTATTTAAAAGACTTTGATTCAATTCTGCACTCATGGCTTAGTCATGATTATAAAATACACAAAACAGTTTTAAGTATAGTGAAAATGCTAGAGGATTTGACTTTTATGTAAAAAACTCTATCAATAGAATAATATAAAGAACACTTAGCATAAAATGTTTTATCTTCCAGGGAAACAGTTGTTTCCACACTATATTCATGCTTGCACTTAAACCCATTATCAGTACTCCTGAGTGAAGGAGAGTCATAGCAAAACATGTTATTGATCACTCTATGTATAGAGACAAAATCAAGTTGTATGATCCTACTAAGAAGCACATAAAACTTCATCTCTTAAAAAGTTTCTCCAATAATGTCTAATTGTCATTTGGATGTGATAAGTGTAAGATTCTTAGTTTCTCAGTTAAACTGCAGAATTTGAGCTTTATGCTTTTAGGCTGAATTGAACCAATGGATGAAGGTAATGCTTACAGCTCCCTTGGGCTTCTCCAGGAAAGAATTATCAAGGATAAGGCAATAAGAAGAAAACTAAGGCTGTGCATATTAAGAAATTGTCTGGCATCCAGAAATAAAACAATAAAAGAATATGTTTGGAAAGATTAACACTTATACAATACTCATTTTGACATATACATTTGGTATATAAAATGGATAACAATGAATCTATAATGTGTCCACCAAAAACCTACACAATGCAACTCAGGGCTCATCACCCCAAGGCAATTATAAAAAGATGAATGGATACTTCTTTATATAAAAGGAAGAATGGGATTGGTAGATACTTCCAGAGCACATAATAGGGTAATAACTTACTTAAATACTTTTGGAATAGAATGATATCACTTCAAAAAACAACAGCAAAGATAGACAAGAGGTATATGTCACTGGATTTACTGAATGTAACCAACAGTGGTTTATCTTTGGACAGAAATTATAAAACAGCTTAGATACAAGACTGGAATCCAAAGGCACTCCATGGGTGACATCCATATTAACTCAATCAACAGTATGTCAACAAAGGAGCATCAAGCACATGTCTGAGTCATGAAGATTTGTTCTTAGAAATGATGAGATTTATGATAACAACTCAGTATTAAGTCATTGCCATCAGAAATTATGGAAATGCTAGTCATAAGACAGCCTATGATACAGTGAAGAGAGTTCTGGGCCTGAAGTCAAAAAGACCTGAGTTCATATCTGGCCTTGGAAACTTAATAGCTATGTGACCTTAGGCAAATCATATAACCCTCATTTACCTCACTCATTAATAAAATGTGAACAATAATAGTACCTGCCCTGCGGGGCTGTTGAGAGGTTCAAATGTGATATTTTGTGAAAAGCTCTTAGCATAGTGTTATACAAATGCTTATTCCTTTCTTATTCCATTAGGGGGCTCAGACGTAAAAATTGGTTCAGATTATGGAATTAATTCATGAGAGCTATATCACATAACACCTTGTGAAAATTTGACAAATATTGACAACTAGGAAAACATGATCTATATTTGAGAATTATAGATCTTAAGCTTATTATCCTTTATCAGCTAATAGACAATAAATCCATGTTCAATAAGTACAAACCCTGAAAC